GAAGACCCGCGTTGCGACGTTAAATGTCGGCACATTGACGGGACGCTCGTACTAGTTAGCAGAAGCTCTAGAGCGTCGACGAATTGATTTCTGTGCCGTGCAGGAAACGAGGTGGTCCTGCTGCAAGTCCAGGGACATTGGCCTCGGCTTTAAAGCCGTTTTTTGTGGTGGCCCCAAAACCACCAACGGCGTCGGGATAATAGTCTCGGAACGGTTCTGTGACTCGATAGTAAGCGTGGAACGCTTCAATGACCGCCTAATGAAGATCGTGGTAGTCAATGAACGCCAAAAATACCACCTCTTCTCAGCGTATGCTCCACAGACTGAATGCTCCGAGCAAACCAAGGACACGTTCTGGAATCTGCTCGATGAAAAGACAGCTGAAGTGCCGTTACAAGAAGCCATAGTTGTCGCAGGTGACCTCAACGGTCACGTGGGTGCTACGAAAGACGGTTATAGCTGCCATGGGGGTTTCGGATATGGGTCACGTAACACTGATTCTGAATTTGCAGACTCGCATAATCTCACCATTGTAAACACGAGATTTCGCAAACGTAACTCCCATCTCATCACCTTCTATAGCGGTGAGAACAGAACGCAAATTGATTTTGTCCTTGTCAGGCACCGCGATCAGGGGCTCGTAACAGACTCAAAGACATTTCCCTATGAAACGGTCGCAACACAACACCGACCACTGATTTGTACGTTAAAGATCGCCCTGCCGAAACCGAAAATAGCAGAAAGGTGCGGGCCAGCGAGAATCAAGTGGTGGCGACTGAATGAGAAGGAAGAGACTTTCGTTTCCAGCATTCTGTTACCAGCGGTAACGACAGTCGACGAAACTTGGAAGGGAGCTGCGGAAGCGATAACCCGGGTTGCACGGTCGAAGCTCGGCGTGACCAAGCCTGGGCGGCGAAAGCTCGATAAGCAAACATGGCTGTGGACGGACCATGTCAGGGACAAAGTCCGTGAGAAGAAAAAGCAGTACCACGCATTCCTTATCGAAAAGACGGCTGGCAACTGGCAACGCTATCAGACAGCGAAGAAAGAGGCGAAGAAGGCCGTTGCTTTCGAAAAGGCAGCTCACTATGCCGATCTTAATAAGAAACTCGAGTCTCGTCTCGGGATGGTGAGCGGTACGTTTACCGACTCGCAAAGACCCGCAACCGCCAGACTGAGGATATAGAAAAGTTCTTCGGCATCAATGACGAGAACGGTCGCCTCTTAACGGACCGCGGGCAAGTACTGAAACGGTGGCGAGAGTACTTCGCAAACATCTCAACAGTCGAATACGCTCATCCCGCCATCCCCTGCACTCCGCCAGCACCCGGTCCCGTTCAGAAGATAACCGTAAATGAGACCATTACGGCTTTGAGGAAGATTAAGTCAGGCAAAGCAACTGGCCCTGACGACGTAGCAGCGGACTTGTGGAAATCGAAAGACTGGAATCCTGCAGGATGGTTGACGGAATTCCTCAACCAGGTCGTTGCAGAGAAGAAGGTGCCTGAGAGCTGGCAACAGAGCTCGGCGATTCCTATCTGGAAGATGAAGGGCAACCCTAGGGACTGCACTTGCTACCGTCCAATTCGCTTGCTCTCGCACAGCATGAAAATCTTTGAGCGAATTGTAGACAGCCGTATCCGGGATATCGTCGAGCTGACCACTAACCAGTGTGGTTTCGTAGCTGGTTGTAGCATCATCGATGCCATACACACCGCTCGCCTCCTTCTAGAAAAGCATCGCGAGAAATGAAGACCGATACATCTTGCCTTTCTAGACTTGGAGAAGGCTTTCGACCGCGTTCCACGTGACGTTATATGGTATGCCTTACGACAGCATGGCGTACCCGAAGAGCTCATTGAGTGGGTGCGTATCCTTTACACTAGCCCAAAGAGCCGTGTGCAAACGGCAGCGGGCATAATGGAGGATTTTTCCATCTTCGTTGGAGTACACCGAGGCTCTGTATTATTCCTACTATTATTTGTTCTCGTCATGGATACCATTACAAAAGACCTCCAGAAGCCGGCTCCATGGACGCTTCTTTATGCCGATGACGTGATGCTCGCTAGCGAAGACAAAAGTGAGCTCGAGTCACAGGTGCAGACCTGGTCCGACCGTCTGGTATGTTCGGGCTCAGGTTAAACGTCAGAAAGACTGAGTACTTGACCACTGATTCGAGCGAGCCAGGTTCTATCAAGATCAATGGCACTGAGCTCACACGGACAACAACCTTCAAGTACCTTGGATCGGCAATTGCGTCTGACGGCAGCCTGGGTTTTAAAACGAAAGCTCGCGTGAATGCAGGTGGTTGAAGTGGCGCTCCATGACTGGCGTACTCTGCGATAAGAATATCCCTGAGCGTCTCAAATCCAAGATATACAGAACCGTCATCCGGCCGGTCGCAATCTACGGCGCTGAATGCTGGCCTGCAACCAAAGAGGTTGAAGCCCGTCTCAGCGTAATGGAGACCAAAATACTGCGCTGGACAGCCGGAGTAACACACTTAGACCGTATGAGTAATGGCGCCATCAGGGAGCGATTCGGTGTTGCGCCCATTGTCGATAAAATGCGCGAAGCTCGTCTACGGTGGTATGGACATACTCTCTGCGCAAAGAGCGACAGCGTCCGTAAGATCGGTCTCAACCTTGACGTGTCCGGGAAGCGGCCGAGGACGTCCAAAGCAGCGGTGACTCGATACGTTGCACGAAGATCCTAAAGCGATTAACACCCACCCCGATCAAGCGTTCAATCGGGAGAAGTGGCGTCAACATATCAGAAAAGCGGACCCCGCCTACAAGCGGGATAAACGCTAAAGAAAAAGAAGAAGAATGCTTTTACTGACATTTACCCACATAAAGTAATACTTCAGTTTTACTCGCATGCCCATATACTCTATATTCACAGTAGGATAACTTTTGTCACTTGAATGAACAAACGTGATGCTCTAGTACGCAGTGCTTGAAACAAAGAAGCTTCTCACAATGGGAGCAACTGATGAAAAAGAACTCGTCACAGTTCATTGCTTTACACTTACTAACCCCAAATCAGAAGGAAAACAGAATTGTGTGGGCGTCCCAAAATCACCGGGGTGAGTGCTTAAGTAGCCGGCGGCATACCATGAATATATGAGAAATTTCCTAAACCTAGCCGGACAGAACTGAAAGTGGACAAGCGACAGTGAGCAAGAAAGGGGGTCTCGTGTGTACATGCAAAAGTTGAGATTATGAGCTATTTCATATGGGGTGGTGCGTTTAACCATATTTTTAAAAGGAATTGAGAAATAAGCTTTTATCGGGCTGCATTAGTCTCGTGGTAGCCTCGAGAAGGGTGTCAATCCCTTCACCTGCTTTTGTGGATTTAAGGTGCACTGAATAGCCTTCTGGTCTTCGAGTCCACTATCACCAGCGCCGGTGTTGGTGAGTACGGAGCTCTTGTGCACCATCGCACCCAATCTAGCATCAACACCCACTTTAGCATCATCATTGCTCATCATATGCATTTTCCCTCCCGGACCTCCAATTTTGCCCACGGAGAAATCTCCCACTCGGTAATAGGTAGATAGACAGGAGGAGGTATCAGCAAAGGCATTAAAAGGTCATAAAACGTGATAATCTCACCATAAGAGTATTTTCTAGTCCTTAAGGGAAAAATTCTATGTAATGCAAAAGTTTCGTCCCCCAAAAAACCCGATCCCTCACCTCTCGCCTATAAAGCGTCACGCTTATCACTACCCAAGCCGCCGTTGAGAGCTGAGGAACATTCATGTAATTTAAATTTTCTCATGTTAAGCTCTCTGAAACCACCCTCATAACTCCGCTCAAAGAAAAGCTTGGCGAATTTGGAAAGCAGATTTGAACTCAGCATCTAAAAGCACGTCTAGCAGTGTAGGCTTCATTTCGGATGACCACTTCTACTTGGGACCCTTCCCTGGCTAATTAAGTATACGGAATGCTTTGCCGTTCATGGTTTTGCTCAATTTATCTCATTTCCGACTAGACTTATCACTTTCTAAACATTCTCATGTACATAGGTGGTGTAGAGACTTTAGTAGAGCTAGTTTTCCTGCTATGCGTAATTATCTGATTAATGTTGATTGGTTAGGTTCCTTTGGGAGTGCGAATGGAGTGGATGCTAAATATGAAATGTTTCTCACGATCATACACCATGCGATGGATCTATTCATACCTTTTAAAAGGCTCTCTCCATCAGTGTCCAAGTTACCCCAGTATCTTGTATGAATATGATACAGAAGGGAACAGCTTTGGAATTTAGCCGTGAATACGCAACTGCCTTCGGAATGGGAAAGATATAATCTATCAGATAAAAAGTACATTAAGGATCTGAGAAAATACTATACTAATGTTGAGGCCAACATGTTATCCAAAGGTGGTGTTAAGGGTTTTCATCCAATCTTGAAGTCGAGGCTATCAGATAAGCCACGCATTGCTACTTTAAGCAAGTATTCAATGAGGGCAGTAACTGATGAAATCAAAACTGAAATAGCCGACACTTTTGAAAAGGTCTTTGCTCCATCTTTCCCTGTAATGAAACCTCTGTTGTATCCCTATTGATTGCACTGACCCTGCTCCTTGGTTTGCAAAGAGGATGTTGCGATGACGCTTGAGTGGGCTTCATCAGCCTCAAATAACCCTGATGGACAACCATACTTACAAGGGAAGGATCATAAGTTGAAGTGGCCATTTGAAATTAGACCTATGCTGCTTAACGTATTTTTTTGACGCTGATTTCGAATCTGCATTCAAAATATGCTAAAAGATTCTCTGAACGAAGTTATGGAGATGGTCTCTGGAGAGCACTCAAGAGGGGCAAGCACAAAAGACATGTTCGCCAGCAGTACAGCGCTGGCGGCTTGAAGTAGAGGTAAGCGTGACGCTTCATATTCATGGGAGCAAGAGTTGGCTTGGAGCATTTTTGCATTTTGTGGGACTTTTTCGTTCAGGTGTTAGAAAACTTCAAATGTTAGTTTTACGGCCTTTAGCGACTCTTTAGTTGCTGGAGGTGAGTCAGTTCCTACTTAAAGGTCCGACATCTACTCTAACCACCAACATGACAAACATTCTATTCTTATAGATTTCAGATTCACACTTTTACCTATTATAAGCAGGTATGATAATCTAGCGTGAAATGTTTCAAGCAAGGAATTTTTTTACAATCAGCGCAACGAAGCGCAAATTGGAGCTCATGCAGAACAGCGAACGGCATCCTTTTGCGCTTTACCGATAGGATCTGATAGCGCTTTCCACCTAGAGCTGTTTGGTTATCTCGCTCTAATAGGTGTTCTGGGATGAAGAACCTGTACCTGCTCTTTGAACACTTCAAACATCAACGACCCTCCAGATGTGCTTGCTGTTTCCTCTTCATCATCGGTTTCCCAGTGGATCGGCCTCCTCGCCCTCAATCACACAGTCTTCTTCGCACTCAATATTGAGGTCTTCGTAAGTGGCATTCTGCAAGATAGAGGAGAAACTTTCTATCAACTTCTGCTCCATCCTTGCAGGGGCGCGCTCGACTTCACAGGAAGCGAAGTACTTCAAGTGGTGCGACACTACCAACCCTGGGCAGAACATGCTCCTTGTTCTTTAGTGTTATCCATTCGTGTGTACCATACTTTACCGCGTTTGCCACCTGGCAACCCTTACCTTTTTGAAAACTGACCAAAACTCCCATCTTTTCTATAAACTGACTGATATATTGCGCAGAGGAAGACGGCTTTGAACTGATTCAGATAGAGCACTCAAGAAGTCGCTGAAGCAAAACTAAAATGAAAAGTTTTTTACAATCTGATGGAAAAAGTCCTGCAGAATGCAAAAACGCCGTCGCCCACCAAACCCGATCCTTGGTTCCACGCCTATGAAGCGACACGCTTATATCTAGTCCAAGCTGCCACTGCTTGTCTCCCAGCGACCATGTCTTTTGTGCTCGCCCCTGTTGAGCGCTTTTCGGACACCACCACCATAAATTCGTTTAGAGAATAGTTTGGCAGATTTTGAATGCAGATTCGAGATCAGCGTCAAAAAATACGTCAAGCAGTGTTAGGTCTCGTTTCAAACGGCTACTTCGATTTGGGATCCTTCCTTTGTTAGTTATCAAGCAATGCATTCATGAAATCAGTGGTCCTCTTGAGTTCCTATTTAATCTTAGTTTCATGAAGAAAAAGTGCCTCGTGGATTGAAAAATGCTATTGTCAGTCCGCTGCCCAAAAAAAGACCCCTGTCTGATCCTGCAAACTATAGGCCTATAAGCCTGAATCTATTTTTTTAAGTGTTTTTGAGAAAATCCTCAGGAAAAACATGGTTTCTCATCTTGATAAGTTAGGCATAATTCAAAACTCTCTTCATAGTTTTTGTGAAAGTAGATCTATCGAGACTTCATCACTCGACTGTCTCAGCGGCTGGACAACCTCTTCAGATCGGGGGAAAAGCGTAGCTGTGGTTTATTCCAATTACCAAAAAGCATTTGATAAGGTTTCCCATGAGTTATTGATTCAAAAGCTGGAACGTCGAGGTTTATATCCTCTGATGAAGAGTTGGAGAAAAAGAGTTTCTGTATAGTAGGAAATTTCTTGTTTTAGTGAAGGACTCTTTCTCAGTTCGTACCGTAAAATCAGGAGTACCCCAAGGTGGGGTACTTTCACTGTTTTGTTTAACATATTTGCTTCGGACATTCCTTGGCTTCTTAACCCCTTGGCGACCGCGCCCTTTATACTGTCCTTGCATTATCTTTTAATTTCTCTTATAACCGCAGTTGGGAATGAACAGTTCCTAGACCGCAATGCCTCAAGATGCCTCAGATGATACTTGAAAACAAGAAAAAATTATAAGAACACTTGATAAATATTGGGTTGTAACATAAGTTCGTAGAGTTTTTTTTTCACAAAGATTT